AAAATAAAATTTAATTATCCTGGTTTTTAAAAACCAACAATTATTTGACTTTTGCAAAATTTCCAAATAATATATTTTCACTGGAAAAAAGACAAAAAATTTGAATGTGTGAGAAAATTTAAAAATTTAATAAAATTAATCTGATTTTTCCTCTTAATAATCAAAACATTTTGACAAATTTTGTTTTTTACTAAATTTATTTTTTTTTCAATCATGCTATGCTGTTTTTCAGAAGTAAGTGAGGTAGCTAGTCCTTACCCAAATATGGATGACCAGAATGATGCTCTACCATTAATTTACTACTAAATACTAAAGAAATTGAAGGGCATGAAAATTCTTAAAAGAACCTAAAAAATTTTGACATTTTATTATATAAAAATTACAGTTTCAAGTTTGGAAAAGGATTTTTCTAATATTTTATTGATATTTCAGAGAAAGTTATAAGAAGATTTTTTCTGGTCCCAAATTAGATAAAATTTATAAAATAGATTAACCTTATAAAAAACACGGATTAATACCTGAGTATCAAATTTCTCTGGTCCCAAATTAGAGCCTGTGTAATTTATATAAAATAGACCAAACCTGGATTTTATTTAAACACGGATATAAGATATTTAAAAAAATTTTTTCTGGTCCCATTTTAAATATAAATAGTTATAAGAGAAACACGGATATAAGAGATTTTCTCTGGTCCCAAATTAGACATAAAATAGGCAAACCTGGATATAATGAAATGCACGGATATAAGAGATATTTTTCTTTCCCAAATTAGAAAATAAAAATAAAACCTTAAAAAAACACGGATATAAGAGTAATATAAGAGACATTTTTAAGATTAGAGCCTGTTTTAATGTATTCAAATAGACCAAACCTGGATTCCAAGAGAAACCCGATATAAAATATTTTCTCTGGTCCCAAATTAGAGCCTGTGTTAATGTATATAAAATAGACCTAAAATAAAGAAAGTAATAAGCAGAATTTTAAATGATGTTTAATGTTATAAAATAAAATAAAAAGGATAAAAAAACACGGATTCTTGTAAAAATTCATTATTCATCAAAATATAAGAGAAACACGGATATAAGAGACCCGGATATAAGAGATTTTTCTTCCCAAATTAGTGCCTGTGTTAATGTAAAAATTAAACCTTATAAGAGAAACAAAAGAGACCCGGATAATTTTCTCTGGTCCCAAATTAGAGTGTTTGTTATAAAATAGACCAAACCTGGATATAAGAGAAACATATAAGTTTGATTACATTTTTATGTATTAATCATTAGGATATAAGAAAACACGGATTTTTTCAGTCCAAATAGTAAAAATTTGATAAAAAAAAAAAAAAAAATTTTCTCTGAAGTATTTAAAATAACCCCCAGATATAAGAGAAAAGGATATAATTTTCTCTGGTCCCAAATTAGAGCCTGTGTTAAATTAAATATAGACCAAACCCGATATAAGAGAGACACGGATATAGATATATATATATATATATATATATATATATAATAGACAAACCTATAAAAAAAAAAATTATGAACATTTTCTCTGGTCCCAAAACCTGTGTTAATGTTATAAAAAATAATAGTTTAAGGGGAATAAGTCCTGAAAATTTTCATTAAAAAAATAACAATTATTTGATATAAGAGACTTTATAAGAATTTTCCCCAAATCAATGTGTTTTTCACTGGAAAAAAGCACACAAAAAAGATTTTCTCTGAAATGTGTGTTAATGTATATAAAATAGAAAGGTTTAAAAATTTAATAAAAATAATAAACAAATATAAGAGAAACACGGATATAAGAGAGATTTTCTTAATAATCACAAACATTTTGTATATAAAATAGACCAAACCCGGATAAATTTTGTTTTAAGAGAGATTTTCTCTGGTAAATTTGTTTTTTTTTCATCATGCTATGGATATAAGAGAAACACGGATATTTTTTTCAGTGAGCCTGTGTTAGTATATAGTCCTTAGACCAAATATATAAGAGAAACATATAAGAGACACCCAGCCAAATTAGATGCTCTACCAAATTATTAAACCTGGATATAAGACAACAACTACATATAAGAAATTTTCTCTGGTCCCAAATTAGAGCCTGTGTTAATGAAAAAATAGACCAAACCTTAAAGAACCCTTTAAAAATACTGGTGAGGCAGATTTTAGAAATATATAAAAATTACAGTAAGCATACTGAAGTTTGATGAAAACCCGGAAATTTTCTACCCAAATTAGTGTAATGTATATAAAATAGACCAAACCTGATATAAGAGAAACCGGATATAAGAAAACCCGAGAGATTTTCTCTGGTCCCAAATTAGAGCCTGTGTTAATGTATATAAAATAGACCAAACCTGGATATAAGAGGAAACACTCTGATATAAGAGACCCCCAGGATATAAGAGAGATTTTCTCTGGTCCCAAATTAGAGCCTGTGTTAATGTATATAAAATAGACCAAACCTGGATATAAGAGAAACACGGATATAAGAGACCCGGATATAAGAGAGATTTTCTCTGGTCCCAAATTAGAGCCTGTGTTAATGTATATAAAATAGACCAAACCTGGATATAAGAGAAACACGGATATAAGAGAGATTTTCTCTGGTCCCAAATTAGAGCCTGTGTTAATGTATATAAAATAGACCAAACCTGGATATAAGAGAAACCCGGATATAAGAGACTTCTTCTCCGGTCCCGACAACTCTCTTATATCCGGGTCACACTGTACTTCCTTTTTTGGGGGTTTTTTGAGAAAAACAAGGGGGGTTTAAACCATGAGAAAGGAAAATTGAAGTTTATAGTTGGTTCAACAGTCAAAGATTAAAAAAGAAATGTCATAGTCAAAACAAGCTGTGAGCCAGCAACAATTAAGGATTATGGATGTGACCTTTCTAGGTGAATAGGAAGTCTCCAAAATTGCCTATGGGAAATGTGATTTTTAAAAGTGAGTACTTTTTTGCTTTTTTTAAAACCCAGATTCATTTTGACAATATATTGTTTATTCTGAGTGCATTTTAACAATTGAGACCTCCTTTAACGGAAACAACACAACATATATGAAGTAAGGTTGTTTGACAGTTAGATACACTGACTGATGTCAGAGAGAAGCCCATGTAATCTTTGGCTCTGTGACAAGAATTTTGGAGAAGGAAATGGCACATCTTTTTTCTTTTTTGAAAACTAAAAACTTAACAGACAGTAGAAAACTTTCTCCCCAGCATAAAATGTAAATATATGTGTATCTCTGTGTGTTTGGATAAAAATATATTTAAACATGTTTTATCCAACTAAAAAGTGTTTCATTTTTTTTTTTTTTTTAAGTTGGCACTTATCAAAACTTAAGTGCAATTCATTCACATATTGATCATCACGACACAAACAACAACTATTGACATCAGACAAATATTAATAGAAAATGCCAAAATACTCCATCATACTCTTTGCAAGGAAAAAAATATTGCTGGAATGGTTAAGCTAATCTCTGTCCAACAACTACAACATAAAATTTGTTATTTTTCATCCATAATGTTGAATATGTTAAATTATTCAACATTTTAACGAGAAAAAAAATTGCTGCAAAACATTGTTGATTTATCTAAGATGGAATGATCTATTGTGACGTGTGCCTGATTTGCATTTAAATACATTGTATTTATTTTCAATTTTTCTAGTTGAATTGTTCACCTATATTGTGTTATGTTCCGACAATCCTCGTTGGAATGGTTATATTCCGTGCTAAGGGAATAAATAAGTAACACCAGGTGGATACTAGTAGAAAGGTTTATTGTACACAACAAGTACAATATGAAATACGGTACAGTTATGCAGACAGGTCAATCTAGTAGCAAGTGCCACTAATTGGAAGGTTGGACATGTCTGGGTCTTCTCACTCACTCTCACTCTTCCCTTGTAGACAGTTGACTTTATAGGTACTTACTACCTATAGTGTAATCATTCATGGGGGTGACTGGCTATTCCATTACATCATATTGCACGCTAACTTAAAAGCTGCCCTGTTGGGCAGCATTTAATCTAGCTCCTGCAGAGAGCTCTTTTATTGGGCCTTTATCACAATAGATAGTAGATGTGATAGGCAACAATAAACTACAGAAGAACTCAAAATTGATTGCGGCATCTAAGTATTACATTAATGTTTAAACTTATCTTTTAAAAGTTCAACAAGAATTCTTCTGCTGTCACTTAATTTAAAACCAATTTGATGTACGGAGGTCCTTTCTGTACAAACAATTATTTTTATTTCATGGGTGACTTTCATTAGATTTCGCAATTTTTGATTATTCCCAAATTTATATTTATTTCCTACCAGCCTGAATATACGAGAAATCTATTTTTCTAACAAGATTTCCTGAATATGAGTATCTATCAAAATACAAATATGTTGGATTTAATCCATTTCCTAAAGTATGCGTGTGTGTGTGTGTATATATATATATATATATATATATATATATATATATATATATATATATATATATATATATATATATATATATATACACACACACACATCACATGTCTCACACTTGTTAATTTTAGTACATGTGTATATAAATAAGTGACCATTGTTGTGAAATAGTGGTGGGTAACCAATTATACAAAAACTCACATCCTGTAATACAAAAATGAATATTAATTGGAAGTAATTAATCGAATGATGTTTTTATGATTTACCAACCCTTTGTGGTTTTTTCCAAGTTAAAACATTTTTGTAAGAATTTTATTTTATTTTTTTTTTAACAAGTGAATAACATTGATTTTTCCATATGCAAGATATACTATTTAACCCACAGTTGGAGGGGAGATTGATTCATACTTTTCCTCAAGATCATTTTTGCGTAAGTGAATCTAACAAACCTCACTGGAATTCAAACTCGGCGCTCTGATTTCTCAGTCAGAGCTGCTATCCATTACACCATCCATGCATCCACTTAATTTGAAACATTAAAAAAAAAAAAAAAAAAAAAAGTGTACTCACCCCATATCATCACCAAGGATTCCTCCTTTCTGTTCCCCAAACAGTCGAGCCAACCATTTCATCCCTTCTTTCTGGTGGGGATACATTCGTTTCCGGAGATCTTTAAAAGACCGAATACGGTCCTCACTATTTGGTGAGATTTTTTCACTACTAGGAGTGTCCAATGTGGCTGGTGGTGGTGCCATCTTTGAAAGTCTACTTTTTGCATTGTCTAAGGGAATCTCAGGTTTCAAATCCAAAGATGATAATCTTGGTTTTTGATGCCTGACGTCACGTTTGTGCTGGGTTTCCTTTTTATCATCATCATCATTTTCAGGAACGGTGGCTGGAAGACAGTCAGAAGCCGTTTCAAGAAGCTTGTTTTCAGTTACAATGACATCCAAGTCTTCTTGCTTCTTGATGCTAGTATTCTCAGTTTTTATATTTGCAACATGGTCTGTAATAATTTCAGATGATTTGGGACTGTCTTTGGGATAATTGCCTGAACTAACAGCAAAGTTGACACGCTCCCTTAAAGATTTATTGCCATTGTTCGGTGTGGTTATGGCATCAGGAGACACCTGTTTTCCGCTATTAATGTAGTCCACCTGATTTTCTTTGTCCTCACCAAGATCCATGCCATTACGCTTCATATATTTCTAAAAAGCAACAAAAGAAAAAAGTGAAGAAGAATATTACCAGGTAAATTATCTCCATAGGTCATACAATATAAAGTTTTCATTTATTTATTTTTTCAGTTTATATAAAAATTACCCTATCCTCATAACTGAACATTGCTCTACTGTGAAGCCCTTCATGACTGAGTAATGTAAAAGCATCTCTGGCTACAGTGATTTTCCCCTATATAAGGGGAACACAGGTTCAAACCCTGCTGAAGAAAAAAAAAAAAACTATCAAAAACACCAGGCTTGGGGGTGAAAATTATAATGCTTAAGAAAAAAAAAAAAATGAAAATAAATAAAAAAAATGAATGAATAAAATTATATAGATATATATATAGATATATGTATAGATATATATATAGATAGATAGATAGATATATAATATTAGTGGTAAATATACATACACAAAATATATAAATATATATGCATGCATACACATATATTTTTATATATAAAAAATAATTCCAAGAGGATAGAATCCAGGTAGAACTCAATGTCCAGGACAGAGTAAGGGTATAATAAAAAGGCTTAAACACTAATATTCCATGGTTATAATTCATTTCATTGGAATCGTAAATACAATCCAATTCATCAGACCTAGGTCTGATGAATTGGATCGTTTAAGCCTTTTTATTATATATATATATTTATATATAATACACACTAGCTTAAAATCTTCCCTATCAGGCGGCATTTAAGCTAGCACCTGTAGAGGGCTGTTGATTGGGCCTTCATCACAATAGGTTACAGAACAACTCAAAATTGATCACTACATTAAGTATTACATTAATATCTAAGCTTCTCTTTTAAAAGTTCAAAGACAATTCTTCTGACACTTAATTTAAAGACAATTTGATGTACATAACTCCTTACTGTACAATTTTTTATTTATTTCATGGGTTATACTCGTTGATAATAAATATGTAATCCAAATGTTAAAAAAAAAGCTAAAAATAATGGAAACATTAAAAAAGAAATCAATCAGCTATTTTTTTTTTTTTATTTTTTTTTTTTTTTCCAAAATCACAAATGGAAAATTCATATTTGTAAAATCAAAGCTACCTATAGTGCTTAAGCCAAGCTTTGGTTCTTCCAAGTCATGGAATGCATAATGCTTTCGTGGTATCATTTGTTCAATTTTTTTTTAAAAAGGTTCTCAAAAAGAAAACTCTTACGCGCAGTTTTTTGATCTTGCGAATTATGGCTGGGTCTGGTAATATCTCGGCAGATTCCTTGTATAGGTTCAGAGCTGGCAAGAGCTGGCGCTGTGCCAGATAGCCATCAGCATCCACCACCAATTTCAGTGCCTTTATCTTCTCCTTATCGCTCACGTGGACAAATGCAGCACTCTCATCCATGCTGAGTGGTTATAAGTGGTTATCTGCTAGAAAAGAAAAAGAAAATAATGATAGAAGAATTTAATATCTGTTAGGTTCCTTATTATAAGCTCTTCTATAATCAGATCAGCAATACTCAACTTGTTTGGCATAGTCACAACATTTATTCCACTATACCCACCAGTCTTCTTCAGGTACAATAACCGTTTCAGAAATGTGAACTGAATCCTTTATTCAATCCATGAAATAGATTGTTCTCATTCTTTATGAGGAGGGACCTTGTATTAATTGGAGAGCCTCTATATATACTGTAGGCATCAAGGTTTGAACAAATTCTTTTAAACATTAGGATAAGCCAGGTGATAACTATCAAAATTTAAATAGTATTGATTGATTTGTTTTCTACGGCTTGTCAACCTGTTGCAGGTTATTTAAAAGACAGAAAATATTTTTAGATTGTGAGATTTTTTTTTTTGTTTTTGGAGGTAATAATAATTTAGTGATACAAGTCTTACCAAGTAACCTATAGCTGGAGAGAGAAGCGGTGGATCCATACCCAATCAGAATTTGATAAATAGACAAATTATAATGTAAGTATAAAATAGGGGATCAATTCTATATTACAGTCAATATATAAACTGATCCCTCATTTTGTTGCCACATTATGTTCTGTCTATACATAAAGGCAGTTGTCTGTATATATGTGAGTGTGTCTGGCTAAAACTAACAAACTACAATAGTTCATGACAAAGTAAATATATATACAGACTCATTATCACAGAAACCAGCTTTTTGTAAAAAAAAAAAAAATTTTTTTGTATGATTTGTACTTACAAAGAAATTTAAAAATTAAAATGCATTAGAATGCAATCGAAATTCTCAGAATTAAAAAGTAAAAACAAACAGTAATAAGTTTTATTCCAGATTAGGATTGTCGCTTGTTTTTACTTTTTGATTCTGTGGATACTTTTGAAACGATTTACATGTATATATTTTTAAAATTTCTATTCTCTTTAATTTATTTTCACATCTAAAGTAAATAAAAACATAACTTTAAAAAAATGAATATTAAAACAACAAAGTAAATTTAAAAGAAGAAAATTAAATACAATTATTTGATAAAAAGTTTAATACTTATTTATTCAAATATTTGAATGTGTGTGTGTTACCAACTCATTAATATTTTTTGGTCAGCTTATAGAAAATTATTTTTTTTTTTTAATTCAATCTTTAAAAAATAAACTTCGTTTTTTTTTTTGGTTTGCAACTAACATAAAAAAGTAAATTTTATATTAAGTTTTATTAAAGCAAAAAACTATAGCAAGCCTTATTTTTGTAAAAATTAATTTAAATAAAATATAGTTTAATTCATAATACAAATATTCAACATGACTATTGTTGACCATAAGTCATGTCTGTGTCTGTTAATTTTTATTTAACTAAAACTTTTTTTATCCTTTAAAATACAAATATGACTTGAAATTCAAACAATCACTTTTCAAAACTAAATTCTACTCTTTCAAAATAGTAATTAATATTTAAAAGTAAAACTTTATTTACTTTAGAAAAATCTAAATTCCCCTTCAAAATAAACAGTAAATAATTATTTTTGAATGTAAGGCTTGCTATAGTTTTTGCTTGAAAAAAAAAAAAAAAAAAAAATTATTAAATTAAATGTTTAAATATATATTAAGTTTATTTACTTTTTTATAAATAATAATTTGAAAAAAGGTTAATGAATTTTTATCTCTTTGAAAACATTAGCAGTATTTATGTTAGTATTTAAATTGAAGAATTAAGTATCTTTTTGAATAAGAATAAGAGAATGCTCAGCCCCCCCCCATCCTTGGGTGTGGTATTTTCCTAAATTGAGTTATTTTGTAACAAAAAAAAAAAACAAACAAACAATAACAATGAAGTTTATTTGATTGAATAAAAAATTATTTTCCATAAGATGGCTAATAGTCTAATAAACTTATCCAGAAGTCTTCTGAGCAACGCCAGGTATCCCTGCTGGTACTTTTCTATTTCAGAGAATATAAATAAAACAAGACATGCAAGTGTAACTAATGAGTATTTTATGGATTGAATCTTTTTTATGACTTATCAACCCTTTGCAGGTTATTTAAAGCCAGGAAATATTTTTAGATTTTTTTTGAGACAATAGAGATACATATTTCACTAATTTAACCCACAGAAGAGGTGGATTTGTACTTTTTGCATGTAAGTGAATATAATGAACCTAACAGGAATTGGAACTCAGCTCTCCAATTAACAATTCCAAACCATTATTCATTACACCACCCACACATCCAAGCTTTTAGCACTTGGTATTTCCAAACAGTCACCCATCTAGGTACTGACCTAGCTTGACATTGCTTAATAGGAACTGGTGTTTAAATAGGATATGGCCATATGCCATTAAATAGAATGTTTGGGAGAGAGGGATGTAGATATATTGTTGCTTGTGATGCCAACTGATGCACTTGAGAAAGGAATACTTGGAGAATAATATTCTAGCATAAATTTAATGCCCATATGGTAATTCACCAGAATTTCTCTTGCCCATTTATAGGTTAACCATTCATCCATGCATGGAATATTGCTGTCACATCTGCTTTGGTGCTTCCACAATGTATTTAAAGATTCTGGAGAAAATCAAAAGAAGAATCTGCAATATTATAAGTCCTGACCTTGTGTCTCGACTTCAGTTACTTTCCAATGCTGTAACATAGCTTCCCTATGCTTTTTTCTATATTTTCATGGGAATTATTCTTTGCTACTTAGACTTTATGAATTTAAATGCAGGACAAGATTGGCAGCAAGGTTTCACCATTTTACAGTTGAAAGTAAAAGATGAATATTTTGTTTTTATATTTCAGGAGTCTAGAGTGAATTTTGGATGTTTCAACAAACATAACAATCAATTAATTACTGCACATTCAATTATTTTTTATATTTTAAGAAATCGTCTGGTATGAGCATATTTTGTTTTGGTTCCTGTTGACGGATCAATTTATAAATGAATTATTAACTATTATAAAATTTTATAAAGAAATCTTTTTTTTACATTTTTTTTTTTTTTTATATTTATGATCTTGAGTATCTACAGTTTAAAGGCAAACCTGGATCTTTTTTTCACCTTGACACCGCTATAATTCTAACCACCTTTACTCCCTCGGCAATGTTTATGGTTTTAAAAAGCAATGATTAGTATTTAAAAAAAAAAAAAAAAAAACTAAACATATGGTGGTGAATTTATACATTTTTTTTGTTCCTGAGAATTGACAACAAAAATAATAAACACTATTTATTAGATTGCTTATTTACACAATCAGTTTTATGTCCTTCTGGTAGAGATTTATTTAGGTCGGTGGGTGCCATATGACCATGATTGTATGGTTTACCTAAAACTCATAAAAGATAATGTTCTTATGTGTCCAATCCTGTGATGGTAGGATTAGTACAAGTTGGCAAACTGGTTGGCTGTGTTGTTACTGCTTGTGCTGGAATGTTATACAAGTAGCTATGTTAAAGATTCATTTACTTTTGCCAACCTTATGCAGAAACATCCTTTCAGGATTGAGGATAAGTTTATGCTCTCATTTGATATTAATAGCTTGTTCACCCGTGTAACATTGCAAGAAACTATTGATAATTGCACTGATGCATTATACAGTAGCCATTTCTTTTGCTTTCCCTCAACATATTCTTGAGGACATCTTTATGGACTTGGAACTTGCCACAATGTCTGTAGAATTCAGCTTTAATAAGATCATATATAGACAAATAGACAGAATAGTGATTCTTTGATTGATTGATTAGTTTTTATCAACCCTTTAGGGGACTTAAAGCCAGAAAATATTTTTACAGTGTACAGGTTTTTTTTTTTTTGAGATAATGATTTAGTGATACAAGTCTTACTATTTAACCCACAGCTGGGGGAGAAGAGGTAGATTCACACAATCAGAATTTGATAGTCACATGAAATTATGTGGATATGAAGTGGAGGGGATCTGTCTTATGTTAAAATCAGTATATAAGCTGATCCCTCACTTTGTGGCCACAGTAATTTCTATACATCTATATCCCAGAGAATGTAAATAAATCTAAAAGACATGTCTGTGTAGCTAATCAGTATTTCATTGATTGATTCATTTTCTACAGCTTATCAACCCTTTGCAGGTTATTTAAAGCCAGAAAATATTTTTAGATTGTAAGAGTATTTTTTTTTCCTGAGGTAATAATTTAGCAACACAAGTCTTACTAATTAACCCATAGCTGGAGAGAAAAAAATGTGGATTTGTACCTTTTCCAAGGATATTTGCATGTAAGTGTATATAAAGAAGCCAACGGGATTTGGAACTTGACTTTTCGGCTTACAATTCCGAGCCATTATTGATTAAAACACCAACACATCCAAGCTTATAGCATCTGGTATTACCAAGCGGTCAACCATCTGGGTACTGACCAGTATCATGTTTGATATGTGGATGACACCTTTCGTGTATTTTAAAATGAGGCTGAAGCTGGAGTGTTCCATCAATCACTTAATACTTTGCACCTGGCTGGTTGGTTGGTTATTTTCATTTCATGGCATATCAACACCTCTATGAATTATCTCATAATGAAATCTAAATATTTTGTACACAATTTTACTAATTTCTTTGTATGATAATAATTGTTTTGTGATACCTTTCTAATTAACCCATAGCTGGAGGAAAAGAGGTGAATTCATACCTTTCCCAACGGTATTTGTACGTAAGTGAATATGCAGAACCCAATGAGAATTGGAACTCTGCTCTCCAATTTACATTTCCCGCCCATTATCCATTACGCCACCTGCACATCCAAACTTATAGCACCTGATATTCCCAAGCAGTTATCCATCTAGGTACTGACCAGACTTGATGTTGCTTAACTTTTGCGATTGTATGAAAACTGGGGTTTCAACATGATGCAGCCATAAGCTGGGAAGTCTTTTAAGGCCAACAATGGCAAATATGTTTGTTTTTTTTTGT